TGCATTCTTTTTAATAATGATTGACTTCCAAAAAACCTAAAAATAAATAAAAGAATGAAAAACGAAATTAAAATGAAAAAAGGAAAAAAAAACTAATCAAAAGGAAAAAATTTAATAAATAATATTAGATCAAATGATCTCAAAAAAGAAAATTAATTGACAATGTTGGTTTTCTTAACAATAGTCATTAGTCTTGTTAACGCTCAATTTACTTGTAAAGATGCTGTTAAATTTAATTTACCAACTTATTTTGGAAAAGCAAGTTTTGGATCAAATACATCAGTTTCACAAATTATTGATGCAAATGGACAAACCCAAACGGCTTATGGTATTTATTATAAAGCAACTGCTCCTGATGACTTTGACAATACAATTATTAATATAAATACATGTGATGCTTCTACTGTAATTCCATCTGAAATACTTATTTTTGAGGGGTGTTCTTCAGATGGCGTTGCAAGTAATTTTAAGACAATTTCTGGAATAGACAATGGTTGTAGTCTTGCTTCAGATTTTCCAGTTATTGACTTTGAAATTAAAAAAGGAGTTACTTATTATATCCTTGTAAAATTAGTTAATCCAGATGACCAAGGAGTAGTTTCTTTCAGTATCACTTCTTGTTTGTTTTCTTTTTTTAAACAAATCCTAAATTCATCATTACGATTTCAATAAATAGTAAAATAGAAGAATTAAACTAATTCAAAAATAGCTCATGAAGACAATCCTAATGTTGAATGCAATGTTGCAAAAGAAGTTACTCAAGTAAGATTTGTTGATAGAGGGTTGTTATTAAAGAGTAAAGTCCCTGCTAGTAAACCACTTTGTTATAAACAAGCATACCCCACCTTATGGTATAAAATTAAAGGAGATGGTAGATATTTAGTTGTTAATACCTGTAATTATTATACCAATTTTGATACACATCTTGTTGTTGTTAAAGAGTTAAATAATTTAGTTTGTACTGATGCTAGATGTATGAAAGAAGCAGATGATGGTTGTGGAAAATCATCAAAGTCATCCATACTTGCTTTTAAAACAGAAGTTAATGAAGTGTATTATATTGGGGTTAGAGGTAATCTTGGCGAAGAAGGACAGTTTGAAATTTCTATTGATTATTTATCTGAGTCAATTCCAGCTACTTGTACCAGATCACTCCCAATTAAATTACTTCCATTTACAAGAACCATTGATATTCCAGATGCATGGCCAACACAAGCAGGTGCATGTTTAGATGAACAAGAACATAAATCAGTGTATTTAACACTTGAAGGAACAGGAAGTGAGGTAGTTATTTCTACATGTAAGTCACTTGATTCCAGTTTAAAACCAATTGGAGTTTCTGTAGAATTAATTAATAATTGTGAAGATGAGAATTGTGCATTTGATGGAAGTGAATATGGAGAGTGTGGTGAAAATAATTATATTGTAAAGAAAACAGAAAAAGGACAAAACTATTATATTAAAGCATACTGCAATACTGGTAATTGTGAAATAACTCTTTCTGTTTATGAAAAAGCTAGTTCTCATGACACATGTGAAAGTGCACGTGAATTAATTAGACCAACACAATACAGTGAGATTGCTGATGTTAAAAGACTTCAAACTTCTATTCATGGATGTCATTCTGTTGCAAAGACTGATGCAGGATTATGGTATTTGTTAAAACGTAGTTCAGACATTGTTAATGAAAAGTATACAATCCTTGGTATGAGTGCCACACGATCAAAAATTGCTTGGATTGAATTTCCATATGAATGTGGACTTATACAATGCGAACAATTAATTCAAGGAGAAGCACATTTGTCATTTGCTAAAGAATCACAATACATATTTGTTTATTCCAATAATGATTATGGACAAAAAGGTCTTATTGTTCAATTTATTTCAGAAGAAGAAAATTATTATCATAATTGTCCTGATGCTATGTTTATTACCCTTCCATTTACTGCAATTCATTCATTTGATAATTCTGCTTCACAATTATTATGCTCATCTAAATCAGCTGCATCTAGTTTTTACCGATTTGTTTTACCAGAAGATCAAAAAGTTGATGTGTCTACATGTTTCCCTAAGACAATTATTGATACGGGTATTGAGATAACAACAGGATGTTTTGGTGATAGTGATTTGAGTGCTTCATGTATTGATTATAATTCAGAAGGAAAAGGCTGTGTTAATGGAGCTGCAGCAATGTCAGTCTCATTAAAAGGAGAACAACAATATTATCTTAATATTTATTCTGAGTCTAAATCAACCTTGAATTTAAAGCAATACAGATTTGTTATTTTCACTGAAGAAGTACCAAAGAATTCTGTTTGTAATAAAGCAATTGAGTTACCATATGAAGATGGATATTCTGAATATTTAGTATTAAATAGATATTCAAAAGAAACTAATTTTGGTAGTGAATATGGAACGACAAAAGGTAGTTGGTTCCATATTAATGTTATGAAAAAAACAACTGTAACTGTTAGAACATGTTCTCCTAGTACTACTTCTGACTCTTTGATTGTTACTGCAAATGAATGTTATGTTACTCAACAAAACAGTAAAGAAATGTCTAATCCAACAGAATTAGAAGATATTGCTGTAAGTGGAATTAATAATTGTGACATTCATGGTACTTATCTCACTTTCAATTTAGAAGCAAATCAAAGTAAATTCATCTTTGTTGGACCTCAAAACTTCAATGACGAAGCATTTATTGGAGTTGAATTTTATATGAACTCTCCAGATGATGATGACGACGACAATGACAGTAGTTCTAGTTCTCAAAAACCAACAGAAAGTAGTAGTTCCAATAACAACAACAAAGATGACGATGACTACAATAACAGTACAACACCGATTGGGTGGATTATTTTTGGAGTTCTTTTCTATGTTCTTTTTGTTATTGTGCTGATTATTACTATAATTGCCATTAAAATGAAACGTAAAAATTCTGGATATGCTACTTTAGTTTAAGTGAAGTAACTAATTGAAAAAGAAGTTGAAATTAAAAAAAATTGTTTTAAATTATTTTTGGTTTTAATATCATAACTAAGATTGAAAGTTAACAACACACACCACCATTTTGTTGTTCTGCTATTTGATGTGAATCATTGTTTTGAAGTATTATTGGTTCATCAATCTTTTCTATTTCTTTTGGAAGGGTTTCTACTAACATCCTTTGCAGACGTAATTCTCTAATAACAAATTCAATGATATTGTCAATGTTTATATTTCTATATGGTAAATTTAATAAGTAAATAAAAAAAATTGATTGAAACAAACTCTTTTGCACTACATTCAAAATAATTGATGTTATGACTTTTAGCAAAGTCTTTTGCATCTTCTGGTGATACTTGTCTTTCAGCAATCATATCATTTTTATTGCCAACTAATACTAATAATGTCTTTTTATCTTCGTTTTGAATCTCATAAAATACTTTCATCCAATCCTCAATATGTGTAAAAGATTCACTATTTGTTACATCAAACATAAATAAAATACAATGACGATTTCTAAAATAAGTTGCAGTTGTTGAACGAAACATTTCTTGTCCTGCTGTGTCCCATAATTGGACGTTATATTGTTTTCCATCTAAAATCAATTTTTTACAAATTACATCACAACCAATTGAAGAAGCAGTATTTGGGTTAAATTCACCACTAGAAAATCTTTTGAAAAAACAAGTTTTCCCAACAAACGCATCTCCAGAAAGAGCAATACTTATCATTAAATTTGACATAACACACTTAAATATTTTAAGTTCTATCTAAGAAAGATAAAGAATATTTAAGAAATGTTTTTCTTATATAAATAATTAAAAAAAATTAAAAAATAAAAACTAAATTATACTCAAAAAGATTATTCATCTTATTACAACGGTATAAGTAAGACTTCTTAATGGCTCTTTTCCTTTTTCCCATGGTCTTGAATAACCTAATTTAATAGTTGTCGTTCCAACTTTTAATGGTTTTAATTGAATTTCTCGAATACTTGGGAAACCTACCATTCCAGAAGGATGAGGTTCTGCTTTGATTGTGTCTTGGCTTAAAGAAAAGGTGTCAGTTGGGTATTCAATATTCCAAGCATATCCTGTTGATGGATTTGTTCTAAGTTGAATTTTGATTAAATCATTAAAAGAAACATGAAGAGTAGCATGGTCTTCTTTTTCAGTTAAAATATGGATTGCAGCATAAGTTGAAGTGTAAAGTAATGCAAAAAAGATAAATTGTTTCATATTTGAGTTTAGAATTTTATTGAATTAAAAGTTACTTTATAAAAAAGAATAACAAAAAGAAAATAAACTTAAAATATAAGAAAGAAAAAATAAATGATGGTTTGTCTCGAACTTCCCTTTTTATTGAATGTTATTCATTATTTTGAAAGTAAAAATGATTTAGAAAATTTTATGGTTATTAATAAAAAATGTTTGTCAACATTATTTGCACTTAAAGTAAATCCATTATTTAGAAATGATAATGACCTTTGTTGGCTTATAAATCATTTTCAAATAGAAACAATTGACTTCAGTGATATGCCAATTTCATCTATAGAACTTTTAACAAAAACTAAAAGAATAAGAAATCCTAATTTTTATCCAATTATTAAAAATGGATTGTTAAATGAATCAAATGCATCTGAAATATTCGAAAAAGTAACTCATTTAAAATTGTATAAAAGAACTGAAGAAGACCAGATGAATGAAATCGAAAATATGAATAACTTAATATTAAAATATTATAAGAGTTTCGTTCATTTAAATTATTTGGAAGGGGATTTAGAATTAGTATTATATTTTCTTACAAGATATACCAGTTATGGAAGGGAAAAGTTTATAAAAATACCATCAACATTATTAATTTATTCTTTAAATGGAAATGTAATTGAATTAAAGAAGAATAATATTGAATTGATTCAAAAAATAGAATCACTTATTCCTGATAATCAAATAATAAATTTTTATATTATTTTTGATAATAACTCAAAAAAAGAATTATTTAAAAGTCAAGTTACTAATTCATGGTATAGAAGAATAAGTTATGAATTAAATGAACAGTGGAATAAAAATGTAATTTGTGATGGAGGTTGTTGTATTCTTTTTAAACGATTGATTGATAATTCAATGAATGAATTATTAAATAAAATGTATCCAAAAGAATTGATTTTTGAAGAAATAACTACTACAACAAAATGGGATATTCCATCATATATTACTACTATTCATATTAATTATTCTAGTAAAACTACTCATTGGAAATTTAAACCAACTTTAAGATTTATTAAAGAATTATTTATGAATCAAATTGACTTTATTATTATTTCATCTTCTCTAGAAAATCTTCAACAAATGTTATTATGTTCATGTCAAGAATCAACATTTCAAAATTGTGAAATGAAGTCGTTGAAAAGAATTAGAATTATAAATTCTTTTCAACTTAGTTTTTGTAAATGTAGTTATAGTAGTTTAGAAGAACTAACAATCATTAATAGTGGTGGTGTACATTTCACTAATCTTTTAATGTCATTGAAAAAAATAGAGTTAGTAAATAGTAGAAGATTAACTATTCCTTTTGAACATGAACAAAATAATACCTTCACTTTTTATATCGAGTCATGTTCAGAAGTTCATCTTTCTCCAAGTATACTTAAATTATTAAATCTTAGATCAAACCATCATGAGTTTTCTAATACTTTTTATTTTCCACCAATCAAAGAGTATCAAAACAAACATTTATTTACATTCAATAAATTTATTTCATTTTCAAATGATATTGAAGTAATTGAAGATTCTATTAGAAGAATCAAAGATAAAAATAGTATGGAAGAATATGATTTAATTGTTTCAAGAGACTTTGGAACATTTTCTAATTACTATAAAAAACAGATGTTTAGTACTATCCAAGGAGAGGTATATTATTTAAAAGGAATACGTTATATTGAAATTACTGTTGTTGGTAATAGTTGGATTTCTATTGGATGTATTGATGAAGATAATTATGAATGTACAATATCTTCTCAATTAGGTTGGTTAAAGAATAGCATTGGTTTTCATTCAGATGATGGAAAGGTTTATTTAGAATCAACTTATAAAACAATTGCACAAGGATTGGCTTATGGAAATAAAGTAGGACAGACAAATATTATTGGTATAGGATATGATTGCTTTAATGAAGAAATCTTTTATACAATTAATGGATGTTTCTGGAAAAAATTTAAAATTCCTTGGAGAAATGTAGCAGTTGCAATTTCATTTGGAAGGTTTCATCCCATTCAAATTAATTCAGGAAGAAAACCTTTTCTATTTGATAATAGACAAATATTTTCTGAATTACTATATAATAGCTAAATCAATAAAAATAATTCTAAAAGTGGATAAACAAGTATAATAATCACAACTCATTGTTCTCTACTTCTCCTTTATTAATACCTTATTTTTGTTGGTAATGAAAAATAGTTTTATTAAAGAAATAATTAAATATTGGATATTTTTAATTTTTGTATATAATACTATTCTAATACTTGATTCTGTATAAATAAAAACAAAAAAAAAGATATTTATTTGGTGAATTACTATTGAAAATTCAAAAAAAAATAGATATCTAATTAAAATGAGAGTTATGAATAATATTATAAAGAACTTAACTCACTTATTTTGTTTTATCAAGAAATAAATAACATTGTTAGGTATTACAATACTCAATACTCATCATTTTTATATTGAAATTTTTATTTTTTAAATAGGAATCTTATTTGTTTTTTTTATAGACTTTATAACTTGTATTAATTTTCATCACCTATTTATTTTAATTATTACATTCATATTATTCAGTAACATTAATCAATAAAATATTATTTCACCATATCAAATAGTTTTTACTTTTTTATGATTTAATGTTTGTTTGATACACTCTTTTAATAATCTTTATTCTTTTTTGTAGTGTTTCTTCCTTTTATTCAGAATCTTTATTGTTATTTCTGATTCATTTTTTGCAATTATTTTGAATCATTCAGAAGTAATTTTGCCATTACTGTTTTTAATTAACTTGTAGCAAATTAGGCAATGCTGAATAGATAATAACAAAGTATAAAAAAATTCAAAACTAACCTCAATGTCAAAGACAAAGTACTCGTAATATTATTTAAGTGTTATTGGGTTTTGAAATTTATGCTCATTTTCATTGTGAAATTAAAACCACAAAATAGCTTTTGTTTTTACTACAAAATAATTTTTTATTAATTAAATTATTGGGACAAATACTACTTTGAAATATACACATTTATTATTTTTTCTATTCTTTCAAATCAGTTAGTTTAGTATAACTTTGAAAATAACAATTTTATGATGTTTATAGACACTTAACAGCTTGAAAAGTTATGATAAAAAATAATTAGTACTATACTAATTATTGGTTATATTTTTGGTATTTACAGAGCTTTTGTGTTGAATGAAATAGATTTAATAAATAATAA